ATCAACTTTTCTTATAATAATATTCAAAATTTCTTCTTGGAGTCGACGACAAATCGCATGTAAACTTGTAAGCTTACATTGACCTTAACATTAGACTCTTTATTTCGTTTCTCAGGCTATAACTTTTACCTTTAACCGTCTCTTCTTTCACATAGATAAAGAAAATTTTTCCTACAGTTCTAAGGTTGCTGCTGAATTTGATTTTATAACCAAATAAGAGTCTAATTTAATTTGTTAAAAGCGTTAATTTCCTGTTCAGTCACGCTCACGTGGAACTTTTATCCCTGTAATGCAATTAGCGTAAGCAAAACGCTCTGTCTCCTTACATAAGTTGCTTACGTTATTTTCATACCGTAGATGCGGTATTCAATCCATCTTCAAATACTATTTTTCTAAGGTTTCATTAAATCTCGTTTATCCCTCGCTAGGGACTATCTTTATGTCAAAATATCTACCTTCATCATGCCTCTGCAATTAATTCTTTCTCAATATGGCTTCATTTCGACAAATTTTGCTTTAAAACAATCCATATCCGACATCGCTACAAATACTATATCCGATAGAAACCTGACGTAATCATAAATCATAACATACCCAAGAAGTAGATATATGAAAAGGAAGAAAAATGTTTGTAATGAGAATGAAAATATTTTTATATATAACAAAACGAATCTGTTACGCAGGTCTAAAAAGGCTCATCAAGCAAATTTCATTAAATGCCGCAAAAGAATCGTATACATATATGGGATATCCCATCATACGGCTGATTGCATAGAGAAACTTTTATGCTTATGTGAACCTTCGGAGAAATTAATCAGAGTCACTACCCACTGTAGTACCTATGATAAGTAACTATTGGCTATCCCGTGATATTCTTCATCAACAACTCAATTCACATACATACGCTTTCAAATGCGTAAAATTCGGATCTATAAATAGGAGACTGAAAGCTTTCTACAAATATCAAGATAATAAGCCGAATAATTTTTGAAATAAGAAGCAAACCCATATGCAACCCAGGTTTTTAATATTTCAAGTATTCAGGTAAGAAAATTATGCTCGCTCGTAATCGAACCTCTTACATCGATCACGGCTATCGTAAAAAATTCAAAAAAAAAAAAAAGTACTAAACTACATAAACCATCATATTGGATGGGCGCGGTTGATTTTTTCTATTTTCAGAATAAAAGTGAAGAAATGTACTTTGTGCGTCACAAGCAAAGAACACGGAAAGCAAAGGTATTCTCAGTTTTGGTTGTAGGCCTCTGACCGGTTTAGGTTACTTTCAAGCTGTTTTGCAAATTTGTGGGCGACATCTTCCATACAGACGAACGGACAGAGATACTTAGATGCATTTCGACGTTGAAACTGGCCAAGAATATACTTTATGAGGGTTCTGAAGTTCGCTTCTGCACGTTCTAAATGAATTAAAGGAGAAATTAAATTTTGATACACAATAAAATCGGCTGGGCGTGATCAATATTTCCCACATTTCCTACACAGGTACTGCAACATCGCCGTTCCAGTCAAATGCTTGTACATCTATCTGCTGTTGTTTATGAGCAATGAGAGAAGAGAACAATTTTTTACACAGTTTACCAAGTACTTTCGCCATGTCCTTCGACCGATTTCACTATTTTCAATACCAACTTGCGCCTGCTGAATGTGAAATCGATAGCTTCAGATTAGCGGACCGTACAATGCTTACAGCAGATATTACACAGGCGAACGAGCAGACATGCTTAAAGCGATTTAGAATTTGAAGGCGATCAAGAATATATGTACTTTGTGGGGTCGCTGATCTTTCCTTCTGAGCGTTGCGAACGTTTTGACAAAATGAATATACCGCTCATGCCACCGTGATGGACACGAAAAGGTATCTTCTTTTAACTGATTAAATTATATCCCGCAAGATATTTCACCCAGTACCCAATTCGCAATGCTAAGTCTACTACGCAAGGCCAATATATAAGGATACTAGATTGCTTTAAAAAATGCTAAGCTTGTTAGAACAACGATCGCATTTTGGGTTGGGGATTCGTTAACTTATTATTAGCATAGGAGATAACATAAAATGTATATCCACATTCTAAGATAAGAGGTTTACGATTTCCGTTGTCGAGCTGACACGATATAGTTCTCGTTATCCAGCCGCTGTCAACGAGTGGTGAGTTGATATTGCTCAGTCAAAAAACGATCGTGTCGTCTTGGCGTTTCGCCACGTGAGCGAGCTCGATAACATGGAACAACGTAGCCATATCCTTTCTCTCTTCTTTCCTTTAGCTCTTTGCCATAGACAATCTAGACAGATTTAATCAAAACACATGTAAAAACTGAGAGAATCGTAAATAAAATTTAAATTTTCGATTCATTTTCAGCAATGATTTGCGATAAAAGACAAATAGCTTAAACTAATCAACCGATCAAATGATTACTCCAAGCTAACAAGTACTTTTATTTAGTTACTTTAGTGATAAGTAAGATAAGTTATATGTGTATTAGTAATATTTCATATAACAATTCTTTATGCACGAGTGAGCATTTCCTAATGTATGACTGCATCCTGCAACTGAACATATCCAGCAGCTTGTGCTTTAACACAATTATTAATAATTTACGTAAGCTTTTGTTCAAAAATAACAGAACGTAACTTAACATAAAAGGCAGCGTTTGCTGGACTGAACTTGACATGAGGTTTTCAAAAAAAAAAAAAAAAAAAATTAAATGAAAAAAAACTACATCAAGTTAAAGTTTTAAGATCGTAATCAAAGGAAAAATTAAATTCAAAAACAAATTTTTTAAAAAAAATTTATTGTTTTAGATAAAGTTTAGAGATTGTAATCATAATATGATTAAATCAATTTCATCCATCACATCGCTGAAAAATCATTTCGTTTCAATTTATTTGAGACACCTAATAAGCTGCTTTTAAGCAGGATATAAATTTATAACGCCATACATTGGCGACCGTATACAAGTTTTGAATTTCGCCCTCTCATCACAGTCCAACATCAAGGTTGGCAAAGCTACACCATACCTAGAAAGTAATAAGTGAGCACTATACTCCAAGGTGGAGAAACACCGACGAAGCTTAACCCGAAAAGCATTATTCGAGTAAGAGAAAATACGTAGGTCACATGGGAGATAATTCCTGCAACGCACAGCACGCACAATAAACGACCATTCAAAATAACATCCGATTAAAGATATGATAATCTACGGATTGCCAGTAGAGCTCGCCAATACAAAGGTAGAACACAGATTTAGAGGCAAGCCTAATTTAATAACCCCGTAAAAGTGCAATAAGCAACGACACAATGCGAATTGATCCCAAAAACCGCTCAACATGTTCCGTATGCGCCCAACCATGAATGTTATAGTCATAGCGTACAACAAAATGCAAAAACGACTAAGCCTAGAGAAAATGTGAGCTGTGGTACCAGCTACGACTTCTACGCCATAAAGGCTTTGTAGCAGCAAGAGAGCATAAGCCAGCCTGTACTTGACTAATTACGGCAGATAAGTATTATTTGAGTAAGTTGAACGCAAAGTACCCACCGCTTTTCCATGGAAACGCTCAATATGTTCCCCAAAGTTGAGATGATGATCAATTAATATATACCCAGGCATTTACGTAAGCCAACAAGCTCTATATTGGAGTGACCAATGAGGACATTTATTTGGGGCGCATACCGACTCATGATTTCAAAGCGCATAACCTTGGATTTCGACGAGTTTATGAGCAGAGCATTAATCTGAGACCATTCAACAAATTGTTCAAAACTATAATTGATATTCCACTCAAGAACTCCCAAGTCACCAGCATCAGTACTGTATACCAGGCATATATCGTCCGCGAATAGTTAAGATAAGGCTTTCAGACCTTGATTCCTATAAGTTCAGGCAGATCATTGATACACATTTGTCGCCCTTATTGATGTTACCCTGGTAAAAATACGAGAAGGTAAATTGTTTTTCTTTTCTTAAAATATAATATTTTATTAACACTTGATTGTTTCACATGAAAGTTGGCAGGAGAGAAAGTCATATTTAATTTAAGCTCTCTATAGATTAGAATTGCTTTATATAAATAATGCTGGGATAAATGAGCCTGATTTTGCGTTTGTATGCCGCTTGTTTCGTTTCTTTCAAAAGATTTTTTTCAATATTCACATTAGGTAATAATGCATTAAATTTACGTCACTTTTTTACGTTCATGCATACATACGTACACAAGTAAAAGTTGAAACCCTGATATAGACCTTAACATCACCATAAGCCTACTTGAGCATACATGTGCGGATGCACTATTCACTTCTCTTTTAAAATATATGGGTATTGTTCTTAATGGCGATAATGAAGAATATGTCCGTCAAATATACCTACCGGCAAATATTGACATAGACACACATCGACGCACTCTTAAAGAGGAAAGGTTTCAAATTCAATATTTGACAATGGTATTTAACATGAAAGTGTATTTGGGTGCTTTCGCATATCTATATACGTCAACAGTTCACATCAGCATGTTTTACTCATTTCCGTATTCCAGGCAAATAATAGTAAAATGCATACATATATTATTGCAATATGTTGTTTAGGGAAGTGTACATAGAAATATCTGTGTGATAATAAATTGATTTTAATTTAATTAGTGACCAGCGTATTAACCAAAGGTGGGAATGATTTGAACTATATATTGAAATGCATGAATTTTACATATATCGTATTGTTTTATCTATGCCTGTCATTTTTCATCTTCCTTGACATCCAATACCGTTCAGTATGTAAACAAAAATCATGCTCAAATTAGTTCAAAACTGAGTTCACTAATCACTAATCAGGTAAAATGTTAAATAGATGTTCAGTATATGAATATTGAATATATGAATTTTTTTGTTATGAAGGTCCTTTTTAAACAGGACGTAACTAAATATTCTTACAAGTTTACCTTTGATCCTTACTTAATTTTAAACAAACAAACAATTTTCACATAGTGAAGCAATTTACATGAATTTATTTATATATAAAAATTTCATTTATTTCACACTGCGTATCTTTTTGAGTTCACGATATACGGCCTCCTTTTGTACTGAAAGCAATAACAAAACATACAAATGCAATTACGATACACAATTTTTTTTTTTTCAAGATATATTTCTAAGTTAAGTCCAGCACACAGCTAAACTGTTTATCATACACATCAGTTTTAAAGTTAATCTAACTTACTGTAAGGGTCGAAACGTATAGTTTCCACTTTATCGCCCAATCTCTCACGCACGGTATTAAATTTGTGACCACTAACCATACTCTCCACCACTACCATTATACGCCTATTTTCAAACAAAACAAATGTATATAAATGTATATATATATACGTATGTAAAATACATCAATGTTGAAGGAATATTATCGTTTCAACAACACTCACTTAGCTTTTACTTTTTTATATAAAATATTTGTTAAACGCATGTCCTTTTGTAAATAAAATCTGGGATAATCAAATCTTTAGTATTAAATATGGAGTCAAGCTATATTAAAAAGATCAGCTGTTTTATAATCACATTCTCCATCTTATTTTTAATAGGTTATCACCGGAAAGTGATAACAAAACTAACATGAATTTCAAACCATATAAGCTACGGTTGCTTTAACATTTTGTAATAAGTGTCTTGTAACACGAGACGGGCTTGTACGGGTCAGTGCGGGTCACTCTTCTGTTAACGTAATGAATGGCATTTTGAAATTCCGTAAACGTAGTTAATACATATTGTATCTAATTCAATTTTTTCTTTTTATTCTTTGGTTTTGCGTTAGTTCATACTATTGTGATCTTTTTCGAGTTTCAGTATCTCAATAATTGGACCTCAATGTTTTTGTTTTTTTATGTACGCATTTCAAAGTGCAAATAAAACATAAATTTTAAAAGTCACATTGCACCGCGGAATATCTTAAATCTTACAATATTAGTATGTCTATGTCAGTTGCCTTCGGATATTATAAAATTAGTTGTTGCCGAGTTTCAGTTCAGAAAAGATTATCTGTCAACCTGCCCAATATTATTTATATATTTATTTAATTTAAATGTAAAAAAATCGACATAACTATGTAACAATAGAAGAAACATAGAAGATATTAATAGAAAGAACCGGTTTACATTTACATTATTTAAATGATAAGAGTTTTCTTCTTTTAATTTATTAAAAAAAAAGAAAAAATTTAAAAAATTTTCAGTTAAGAATTGTATGATAATGCTTTATTTAGCTCGATTGTTTTAATTAAATGGTTTCTCGAACATTAGCAGACCTCTCTCCCACAAAGCTTGAGTTAGATCAATTTTCTCCTCTGTTTGCTCCATAGGCAACTGAGAGACGCTTACATACTCTGGATAAGATTTAATTAACACTTCAACACTAGCCGCCTGGGTATCTTTTATTTCTATAAAAGTAGGCTCATATTCACAGAACAACTTCGAATTATCGGAATAGTAGTAGATGCGCATCTTGCCCTCTTCTTCCACTAAACGTAATATATTAGCCCTTAATAATCGTACATTGGTTCGTTCTTCGATCTCGTAATCACACAGGCACTCGCCGTGTTCGTTTGTGCGACTGCGCGAACCATAAACAGTCCGCAATTTTTCTGTGTCTAATATTTCGGGTGGCAAAGCTTCACGATGATATTTTTTGGCTAATTGGTCAAATGCTGAATCCATAACATCTGTTAAGTCTACGCTGTTCATACATTTGTTCAAAAGTTGCTTAACCTTCTTTTCCAAAGAAGTTCGTTCTTTAGAGCCATGAGAACTATGAGCTATACCAGCAAGATGCCAACATTGTAGAGGCAAACCTCTTCTCAGATCTGGGTTATTGTATATAGCTTTCTCTAACATTAAAGGTACCATTTTTTCTAATAAATCGGCATACGATTGTTTCTGATAAACGCTTAAAGTAAGATGCAGTGAGTGATATCCGGGTTCAGTTTTAGCTTGATGTATAATGCCACGAGGAAAATACAAAATATCACCAGGTTGTAGTACCTTTGGGAAGATGATTATTAAGTTTATTTTTCTGATTATTTATTGCAACTCATGTACCTCTTCAAATATAGGTTTTCCTATCTCTTCTTGTGAAAAGTTTCTAGAGGAGAAGCGTGGCAATATTTCTTCAGGCTGGCGTGGTTTGTACAATTTCCAACGCTTACGACCTTCTATTTGCAAAACAAACGCTTCAATGTCATCATAGTGTGGCGCAAAGCCTTGACTGTTGGGTGGCGTTAGGTAAGCGTTTGCACCGACTAAACAATGGAAATATTCTTGTAAAGTACTATTTAAAGTGTAAAGATTTGGTAAAAAGGCTTGAGGGTTCAGCAAACGTATACTACATCCTTGACCATAGTGATCCCATATAGTAGGTGGCAAAGCTCGACCTTCAGGATTTAAAGTCTCGCGTTCACCTAAATGTTTGAAGTAAAAAAATCACTTGATTCCTAGACGATTTTAGAGCTATATACCATTTTTATAGGAAGTGACATCTATATTCTTGGTAAATTCCAGATGATTTTGTAGCAACATCTGGTCAATGGCCTCAAATGAGATCAAATGAGAAAAATAATTACTTTGTCGTCGTTTAATAAAGCATGATTTACTTTCCCAGTATTTGGCAAAGAAATCTTCAACTTTCACTGGATTTAATAACCATTCAAAAGTACGTTTACCCTCAGTAATGCTGTTCATACGAATGACGTTGCTTTGAGAAGAGAGAGGTTCAAATTTAACACTGGTTGTTTTCGTAACTTTAGGTAAAGCATCGCTAACATTAGATGTACTCTTTTTTTTGCTTTTAACAGAAGCTGGAGACTTCTTAATAGCTCCCATAGATACTTCCTTTGTTTTCAACAATTTGTTCTTTGTCGCACCATTTGTTAAGGCTACTTTAGTGGCGCTAGCCGCATTCTGCTTGTTAGTCAAATTGTCTCTAGGTAATACGACTGTAATATCTTGTTCATCTTTTGGAGATGATACGTTTTGTACACACATATATTCTTCATTATATCCTTCCTCAAAATTGTTTTTCTCTTCTTGTTCTAATGGCTTAAGAGGACTTTTCAACTTCTTTTTCTGTTTCTTTTTATTTAAACTAGGGCCGCTAATCATCGAATTACCCGCTTTGTATTCTTTAATATGCGGCTTAAGGTTTACCCGTTTATTAGTCATTTTGTTATTCTTTTTTAATGATTTAGCTCTTACACCTTTTGCTGATTTTCGGTCGGATGCCTCATTCTTCTTTTGGCTATAAACCGGAATTGGAGCACGAGCAATTTTTTTCTTGATTTTTCCACCAATAGTTTTGTTAAGCGAGTTACCTTTTTTTGTGAGCTTTTGCAAGCGTTTGCTTTGTTTGCCAATGTTGTATGCACCAAAGGCGGAAATCGGTTCGGCCGTGCTAGACATTTTTAATAGTTTTTTCCTTTAAATATTAAAAACAAAATTGCTTTAACTTTGGAAAAACTATATATTCTTACTGCAATCTTTAAAAAAATACCTTACATCTTAAAGTTTAACAAATAACTAACAATAGCCCACGTGCATACGAAAACAAAGAAGCAGAAAGTCAATAATGCCAGACTGCGTTTTCTTTCATAACCGTAAACCGCATTGCTGCCAGACTGTAATGTCTGTAGGAGATAAATTAAATTTATCTTCCACTTTATGAACGGTTTATGTATTAGAAGTTTGTCCTAAAGCTGGCAATATAAATAAGCCTCCATCATTTTCGTTTTCGGATTGCAAAGTTCAAGTGGGCCACGCTAGCATATTGTGATGTTGAACGAAAAATATTTTCTGATTCGACTTCTACTTTGCCGACTTTTTACAAAACTTAATGGAAATATTACAACTCGTATGTATGTATACATGTATGTATACATAAATAAAACAAAATAAAACAACGCACAAGAAGAAATAAAGACAACCTATTTTAAATTTAGAAACTAAATATTTAGTTTATATTTTATTTTTTTTATATAACATCATATATAATTTTGGCTTATACTACGCATTATTTGTAAGAGAAGAAAAACAAAGAATAAAGACTGCTAAAGAGAACCAAGTTTGGTCCAAAAAAGGAGAATGTTAGCAGAAAATTATGTTGTCTTCATTTGGTTTTAACGAACTTGGGTAAATAGAATATTTTATTTTCTAAAACGTTTTTTAAGAATTATTATAATACTGTAGTTATATAAATTTTTTAATGAACTGTACGAACAGAGTGGCCAAGTTTTAATTTCTCGTAAATGAAAAATTAGCGCGTTGTCCACTCTGTTCAGCATAATAATAATAACTTCGAAACTCGTAAGAGTTTTTTTGCCGGTTTTCTAGATTGATTTAAAAATGGCAAATTTAGAAAAAGAGAATAATATTTACAATATTCAAGATGAGGAAAACGCTAGCGCCAGTGAAGAAGCATTGGGAAATATGGAAAAGGATTCGAAACAAGAACAACCAGAAGATAAAAGTCAAGCAAATATTGCAACAGCAGAGGAATATTTAATGGGTGTGCAACTTTTGAATTATGAGAAGCAGATGTTTTTGGATATGGTTTACTCAGATGCTTTAATGGTTTGTGCGAAGTGTGTAATTAAATTTAAAGTGTTTATAGCATTTTGGACTGACACTTAAATATTAATAGAGGTCTCAGTTACGAGCGAGTGCTGTTAAATATCTTAAAGGTCTATAGTGATTCTGGAAATTTATTGCTTGTTATTAACGGTTCCGATTGGGAAGAGAATTATTATAAGTCTCGAGTGGAGAAGAAATTTTTACATGAGGCAGCCAATACAGCTACAGAAAGGTAAAAAAGTAATGTGTTAATTACAGTACACGTAGTTAGACATTTTTTAAAAACAGAGAACGTGTTTACCTTGAGGGTGGCATACAATTTATGACCACACGCATTTTGGTAGTGGATCTACTGAAGCAAAGAATACCTATTGAGTTGATTACCGGCATAGTGGTACTACGAGCTCATACTATTATTGAGTCTTGTCAAGAAGCCTTTGCTTTACGATTGTATCGCCAACGCAATAAGACTGGTTTTATTAAAGCATTTTCTGGTAGTGCTGAAGCATTCACCATTGGATATGGGCACATAGAACGTATCATGCGTAATTTATTTGTCAAAGAACTGTTCATATGGCCTCGCTTCCATGCCACTGTGCAGTCATCTTTGAAGCCATATGAAGCTCAAATCGTCGAATTGCATGTACCGCTCAGTGGTAAAATGGAATCTATGCAGGCAAATATTTTAGATTTAATGAATTATTTAGTGCGCGAGATCAAACGCATCAATCGAATGGTAGACTTGGAAGTTATTACCGTTGAGAATTGTGTTACGAAAAAATTTCATAAGATACTTCAAAGCCAATTGGACTGTATATGGCATCAATTGAATTCACAAACTAAATTGATAGTTGCTGACTTAAAGATTTTACGGAATCTAATGATGTAAGTACGAAGTTGCGTTTCAGCAAAATTTATAAAATCTTACGCGTCCTAATTTTCCTAGTTCTACCATGTATAACGACGCTATAAGTGCTTACGCGTTAATTAAACGCTATCGTACTACTGAGTATGCTTTAAGTAATTCTGGATGGACTTTGTTGGATGCTGCTGAGAAGGTATTTAAATTGGCCAAGGAGAGAGTTTATAACGAAGCGGGAGGTTAGTGAAGGTTTCTTAATTTTTACAAAACTTAAAGTTTTCTCTTTTATGTAAACGTAGAATTTGAACCAGAACCATGCCCTAAATGGAAATATTTAAGTGAAATTCTCAAGGTTGAAATACCAGGAGATATGAAGCGTTCCGAAACGAATAAATTGATGCAACCAAAGGTTCTTATACTCTGTCAAGATACCCGTACTTGTTATCAACTGAGACAGTATTTAACTCAAAGTGGGGAACAGTATTTATTATATGTGGCTATGCGTCATCAGATACCTGTAGCAAAATTAAGTAAAAGATTTGAAAAAATAAAAAATGGTCACGAATTGGAAATGACTTTAAGTCAAAAACCAGACCCAGTTCTCAAGAAGCAAACATGTGGAAAATCATTAAATAAAACTGACATTCAAGGTCAAGAGGAAAGTTTACCTGATACTCAAGCACTGCCCATGGATGAATTAACTCAACTCTTAAGTCAAGATGATCTAGAGGATTTACAGGAACATAACCTTTTCCAAGAAAGCTACTTGTTAACTATGACCCAACCGTTATTGACGGATGCTGACTTGGATAATACGGACACCACATATGATGATGTTGAAGGGGCAGTTGGTACCAGTTTACAGGACTCCATATTTGAACCATTTCCAGAGATGGAAAGTATGGACATCACTGCCGCTGTCGCTGCAGGCAAACAACCTTTGATCTGCTTGCAAACATTTAAGACGGAACATGATGGGCCTTTAGCTTTGGAACGCATACTTAACGACATACAACCGCAGTATGTTGTTATGTATCATTGCAATGTTACCGCTATACGGCAATTGGAAATTTACGAGGCACGACATCGTCGTCCACCTGCGGAACGCATGAAAATTTTTTTCCTGATACATGCTCGGACTGTGGAAGAACAATCGTATTTAACTAGCTTGCGAAGAGAGAAGCAGGCTTTTGAACTGATTATAGACACAAAAAGCGTAAGTTAAATAAAGCGTTTGATCACGAGATGTTAACTTTTCTTCTTATTATTTCATACTTTAGACCATGGTAATACCTGAATACCAGGATGGAAAAACAGATGAAGCCTTCGTTTTATACAAGACTTTCAAAGATCCAGAAGTGGAAGCAAATAACGCCCAGAGTCGTAAAGCTGGAGGCCAACAATCAACTGAAAATTTATCAGTCCCCAAAATTATAGTAGATATGCGCGAATTTCGTTCCGATTTGCCCTGCTTGATACACAAAAGAGGTTTGGAGGTGGTGCCGGTTACCATAACTGTAAGGCATTTATTTTTTTTTGACATGAATTAAATATGAATTAAATTTCTATTATTTTCAAATGTTTTTTTCAAGATTGGCGATTACATTCTAACTCCCGAAATATGTGTGGAACGCAAATCGATTTCCGATTTAATCGGTTCTCTTAACTCAGGTCGTTTATACAATCAATGCATACAAATGCAACGTTATTATGCTAAACCTATTCTACTGATTGAATTCGACCAAAATAAGCCCTTTCACTTGCAGGGAAAATATATGTTGAGTCAGAATACCACCTCCACCAACGTTGACATAGTGCAAAAATTGCAGCTGCTTACACTGCATTTTCCGAAATTACGGCTAATATGGTCACCAAGTCCATATGCTACGGCTCAACTATTCGAAGAGCTGAAATTGGGTAAACCGGAACCGGATGCTAAACAGGCATCTACTCTCGGGATCGATGAGATAGGCTCTTATGATGATTTGAAATTTAATGCCAATATTTATGATTTCTTGTTACGGTTGCCAGGGATTAACACTCGGAATGTGCATCAGTTAATGCGACATGGAGGCAATTTAAAGGAATTGTTAAGAAAATCGCAAGTAAGCGCAAAATATTTTTTTTTAATTAATGCGAAAAGTTTCTTTCCTGTTCTTAGGTTGAGTTAAGTAAACTATTGGACTCGCAGGAAAATGGAAAATTGCTATGGGATATACTGCATGTGGCGCATTTGCCCGAGAAGGATGAAATATCTGGTTCAACTGCTCTGCTTGCGGCGGGCAAACAATTCGTCACACATACACGCTTTCGTAGGGGAGCAGCCGCTTCGCTGGCCACACGTGGTCGTTTAACCGGAAAATTTAACAGGAATTGAAAACAAATTTTTACAAAAATATTTACATTTATTTATTTTGTGTGTTTATTAAAAAATGATTATTTACTAAAACGGGACATTGTTTAAGGATACGAATCTGCAGCTATTACCAGTCACTTAGTGTCGCAATTAAAGCACAAGCTAAGCCATTCGCAAACAAACTTGGGCCAATCAAGCACGCACATCAACATGCACGGATACGATATTTACCAACCATGACAAATTAGAATTTCAATTGAGTCATTTGTTGGCCCCCAGAAAATGATTTTCTCCGCATATGCATGTGTTTATGTTTGACTTTCAGTAAATTCAAATGTACTTTGGCGTTTTTAGGTTGTAACACTTAAACAAACGAAAAAATTTTGCGGTTGGCTGGTACCAACACAAAAATATGCTCCTATAGGAGATAAATATACACATTTACGCTTGTTTGCAATGCGCAGCCAGGTAAAATGACAGTATTATTAGTAAAAACAAGAAAAAACAAATAAGGAAATTATAATCGGGCAAGACCGACCAATGGATACCCTACATCACTTCTCCTAATATAGTTATCCCCTCGTTTCGAAAATTAAATATTATTTTCACGCAAAGGCATACTTTTCATGAACGCCCGCATATTGGAGTATTCCCACACCATTACATGGCTTAATCCAAACTTAGCACTTTTTCTTGCTTTCTAAAAATTTTATTAATTTTCAGAGTCCGTCGTAAAGGTCTTGTTTTTAATGAGAACTCCTATAGATGTTGGGGTCTAGAAAATAAACCTACGTGAATCCAAATTGCATACCGTTGCTTTTCGTGTTAACTTTCATCATAAATTATTAACCGTTAGGCCTTTTTGGCATATAAGTGTTTACATGTCCTGAGAATTCTGCCTACCTAGGGAGCCCAAGTTCGATAAGGTTAATATCTTTGTCAATTTCCTATTCTGCACCAATTTTCGTCATGCACTATTGAAAATTAGCCCTTTTTCCATAAAAGGATTTAGTTTTCGTAGGATCGGGTATGTGAAAGCGGGTTCAAAAAATTTGCACAGCCGAATCAAATTTTTCATCGCTATTTAGAAAGTTAAAATACTATTATTAAGCGACTTTTGTTGAAAAATTTTAAAATGAGGCGTTATATGGGAACTGGTCCAAAAGATTGACCAATCTGAACCATTTTCAGTAGCGTTTGTTCTTGGCTCAAAAAACATGAATGTTGGCAATTTCATCAAAATAACTCAAAAAATAACTCACAGTTTTTGGTTTAACACAAAAGACCGGCTCAGAATCATTTTCTGAATTGATCGATAATTAAAATCTTATCTTGTATCTTAAGCCATTCTGAGTGTTACATATGCCCGCGCAAACTTAATGTTCCCTTTAGCGCAAGCGGTGTGGGGTACAGTGGTACGAGTAAATAGATAAAATTCCTCTAAGCACTAACATTTCATTTATTGTTTATGCATTTGCTTCAAAATAAGCCGCATTTTTCGTGGTAAATAGCAGGGAACAGGCTCAAGTTAACTTTTTCCGTACCGAAAGATTATGATTAGATTAGATAAAATGCTAGATATTAGGTTATACAGTGTTGAAATAGAGGGAACTTGTTAAAATATTGGATTACATAAAATTATTAAGTGTTATAAGACAGAAAATATGTTCCTTCTTTTTTCTTGTTCTCCACCTATTGCTAATATTCGTGAGCAAAGTAAAGTGACGGGTTGGGTTAGACTGCAGATCCATCATCAGTCGTTGATATTAGTATGGTCTCCGAAATTTTGGCGGGAAGCTAAAGCTAAAGGTTGCTGCTTATGTTTGCAGTTGAAGACCAAACAGTTCAAATTTTACGGTTTATAACATTTCAAAAATTTGTCGCTCATGTATGATTCAAGCTTGTGAAAGACTTTCCTTGCGATAGTGTGAACCGAGTCCCAATCGGTCAATTGATTCGTCCAAAGTTATTCAGAATATCTAATTGTCGAGGTGATTGCTGTGCAGAACTCTGCTCGGAACGAAAATAACTTTTTGATTTATTTAACTTACTTGTCAACACATTCCCTGTTGTCCCCCAACTCTATGTTGCGTGGGCGGTATTTGGATCTAATCATAGTGAATTTGAAAGAAAAAGTGAAACGAACTAGAAATCGTGCGCATATATCACTTTAAGTAAAGGTTTCTTTTTCATGATTTCCCGAATTTATTTGCACCAATTACCATAATATAGTACCGATCTGTAGTTACATTTTTCCCTTTGAACTGTTTCATTGAAGTAAAACTTCGAATTCGCTACCAGGCATTTAATAAGAACAATTAGAAGTTAATTATTTCATTTTTTTACGAGCATGAGGACGAGCACGAAATAGAGAGCAATATTACGCGTGATCATAAATTACTGTTTTCCAACTTTTGTTTTCGAACACTTTGTTTAAGCTTCTAGGTGAAAGCGTAGAGAAATCGCCCACTCAAGACATACAATTTTCTTAGATATACGTAGGTACGCTCATGTATTCTAAACGTAATAATTTCCTGTCTATTTCAGTTCTTCGATATTTATTTATTTTTTTATTTATTTAGTGGCGACAATCACATATTTAAATCATATATGTATATATATATATTGTTACGAAATTCGCTTTTCTAAAATACGTCTCGTACCACTAGATCGTGGATATTCTTTTCAAGAGAAATACACTTTAAAATTCTTTTATTCCTATTCTGTATTCCTAAACAGTACGATTATCCACAATTTATTTTGCCAGTACTCTCGACTCAAGTGTTCTTGTCCGACTCACTCTGCCTTTAACCTGCTTTTCCGATAATCGTTTTTCTCGGCTGGCAGCTGCATGACGCGCCGCGAACGTGCATTTGGTTTTCCCCTCTCTAAGGAATTTATTATTTAGGAAAATTAATTATCCGGAATGCTGGATTTAGGATTTCCGTAACAATGCATTAAATTACATACTCATGAGCAACACAAAGTTAACAGTTTCATTTATAAAATAAACAATTTCTTAGCATATTTTCCGGCTTAAATTAGTAATAGATAAACTTAAGTCTAAATATTAAACTATGATATCGATCAGAAAAGCAGGTACCTAGGGTTAAGTAAATAATATATAATATCTTGGTATTTGAAACTAACAGCAATCGACCACGACCACTGATTTAGCAGTCTTGAATCTTATATAATATCTTATATAATTTCTCGTTTAATCTTATTCTTTGGGCTATGTGGTATAAAGTAAATATACCTTTCAGATGATTTGTTGTGCGATTTCTGCTCACCCAGCCGCGCCACTGTTAACGGCTTAAACGCAAACGCTACATAAACTGTGTATATGACCAGAATGTTGTAAAAATTTCTCGAAGAAACTGAATCCGCCCAAAAGCGAAATTCATTATTTAATTTAATTAAAATTTGGTTTATTTAATAATTTTGTGTATTTTTATATAACTGAGTTTATAAAGTGCTTTAAACGGTTAATAATAATAATAGGTTTATTTAATACTTTTGTCTATAATATATTCAGAAACGTACCAATAAATCGATATCATTGTGAAAATATTGCACATAAATTTCAATACAAAAGTATTCTTGTTTTATTAAGCAACATAACATACATGCATAAATAGATGGAATAGCCGGAATAATGAAAAGATTTTTTTGGTAAAATTTTAAACCTAAATACAATATCGGAGCTAGGAACACAAACAAAAAAAAAAAAAAAAAACATTGATTTGCATATTTAGTGTTTTAGTGTGGGTCGGTGGTGTAAAATACAATTAAATCTCTACTCGACTGTTAAAATTCTATTGTCATAGTGATAAGCGAGAGTGCAGAAACAAAAAGAAAAAAAAAACAACAACAAGAACAACAGCCACAGAACACTGCACCAACATAAAAAAAGAAGAGAAATATTTTATTGGACAACTGTAGCCAGACGGTTTGGCCAGGTTGTGACCTGACATCCTCTTCTATGCATCGTTTACCAAATGCATATTTAAGAGGAAAACGCAAAGAGCCAAAGAAAGATAGAAAGAAAAATGGAATAGGGAGGAATTTAAAAGCAATATTTCAACGGCCACAAATTGAATAAATCCGACATGAAACTCTCCTTTAGTTAAAGGCATTCGTATATACGGACCAACAATTGTTAATCTGCAACAGAGTTGCTTCATTGAAGGACGGGAGCAGTATAGGAAGGAGGAAGTGACAAACAGTAACACTTGTAATGGAGTCTCTACTGAAGTTGTCAAAGTGTCTGTCATCATTTATTGCTTTCAAATGCAATAAAAAGTGAAAAGTGAAAAAGGAAAGTGAGAAAACATTAAACTCATAACAATGTTGACAAACATTTGACGCAAACACCGTCCTACAAAATACCAAATAAGCAACAATAGTAACGAAGGTATGCCAATGTATACCAAAGTGAGTTTGATTTCGCAAGATATGTTCATTACTGCGGCGCAATCAACATTTCTCGTTAATCATGTTAGGGACATTTTTGAATAGGTTGCCTAAAGATGGTACCGACTTTGCAACCGACTTTGAGACCATCATTTGTTGATATTATTGCCAATAATCCTCACGTCCTTCCTTTGAATAAAGAAACGCAAAGGCTTCGCGTATTATCACGGATAACAAATATCTGTCTACTGTTTAAAGACAAGGTGAGAGTTTACTTTGGCATACACTTTTGTTGATACCTTTCAAATAACCAAAAAAAAAAAAAAAAAAAAAAAAAAATTTAAATAAAATAAATTAAGCGGGATTTTGGCGGAAACGCGAGGCATACAATTCTACATCAACTTCAACATGGTTGAGTGTTCAGCTTGTAGTGAGTAATCAAGGGTTTTAAAATGTCCAAAGAGTTTGCTCGGACACGAAATGGATGTACAAATATTTAACTGACAATCTATTTGAGTTGCTTGTCTCCGAGAGATTATTATTTTTTTTTTTTTGTTTTGTCGGTATTGTCGCGTATGATTTTAGTCATAAATTAATTAAATTCTTTCATTATTGTATTAAATAAAATTTTCGTTAAATCCTTAAGCGTTATTAATTTAATTACACTCATTATGCATAACATTCTCAAGTAGCCGGTTGCATTAAAACGGCTAAAACTTTTGTAGAACAATTTGCAACGCCGTACATACATATATAATTTTTAAAGTTTCAAACTTCAATTCATTGGATTTTTTTCAATCGATTTTTTTTTATTAAAGCGCACCACTACCTCTGTTGCTCTGAACGCAAATCGCAACGAAAGAGCAGATGGTCTCATGAACACTGATGGGCAGATATGAGCAATAACCAGAAGGACTTGAGATTGACTCAGTTTTCACTATACCGACCAATTCAAAAATCACTCTCTGCATCGATCTAATCGTGTTTGTCCGTATGTCTCTCTGATGTTCTAGTGTTCAACTTATATTGGTGAAATTTGGTGCACCGGCGTGATTTGATCCAA